CATCCTCGATACTCCAGGGGTTACGCTAACTTTCGCTCTCTGCACCCCTGGAAATTGAAGGCTCAGTGTTTGCTACCTTGTGGATGAGACAAGAAGACTATTTTGTTCCTTTGATAAACATCAACAGAATCTCGCTGTCGCGTAACGGTAAAGTTGACTGACTTTGAAGTCGGGTGTGGCTCCTCTGTAATCTTCAAACGACAGGTTTCAGCCTAGCGATTAGTCAAGATATTTTTACCTAAGACCTATCAAATATGTTGCTTTGTGCCTTCGATTTTGATTTGACATATTCTAGGGGTGCAGAGAGCGAATGTGGGTATAGCCCCTGGAGTATCGAGGATGCGGATCAATATGATGCAGTCTGAAATGTGTGTTATCGGTACTTATAGAGCCGGAGATGTACTTTTTAAGGTCATTGCTCATCGTCATGGGTAGACTTCTACTTTATAACACGAAGTTCTAAAAAAGTCCAGCTAGCCCAACATCAGTATAATCTGACGTGCAACGAGGAGGAAGTCGAACAAGGCTATTACAAACGCAGCTTAATCTTAGTCATTGATACGTATACGTGTACATAACTAGGTATATGTCAAGCCCAAAACTTAAAGGTATCAATCGGGCCTGCTTTTAATCATTCGAGGTTGAGTTTCACTTTCCCTTAACATTAACGATCACAAAGACTAGACATAAATGTACATAGCTTCATTTGGATTTAAAGTGACTTATTATATACACGCCCGCATTTTAAACATGTTTTTGAATGCCCGCAATTATTATAATGATTCTCTAACTGACGCTACACGTAGTTTCAAATTGTTTCAGCATGCTTATAAAGTGGACTAGTTCCTGCGTGATACCGTAGGAATAGTGAGTCTTCTACACGTTGGTTATTCTGCATTGGATTCCCGCCGATTGAGAAGATTTAAGATTCCTTATCAGCTATTAAACCTACAGCGATTTCGATTTCAACTAATTAATGGAGTCGAATGGTTCATAATAGTTGGTGATGAATCTAAGCTCTTAAGACAGGGACATCCCACGTGATACCCGTGCTAGATTTCTGTATTCTGCCCGATCTGTTTGGCACCTTTCTGCGACATTGACAATCTGCATTATAAATATAATGTTTTTTCTCAGACAAGGGCTAAGATTCTGTAACATAGTCCTAGCCGAGGTTGGGATATTACAGAATCGTAATCCGTGTTAGGCCTACAGGTGATACATTTTATTATTCTCAAAAGGAGATGGTTTAAAATCGCCCCAACTGTGAAGAATGGAGAGGCCAAAGGACATCAAAAAACTTTCATGAACAAATCTCTGGTCCGAACGGGATAGGGGCTTTAATCAGAAACTGTGAAAGAAGATATTTAATAATATTAATTTTGATAACTTACCAGAGCGGACAGGATACCGGCCTGTCAACAAAGCAGCTCTACTCGGCGTACAGACGCTTGCCGCCGCTAGATGGTGTGTCAACTTCACTCCCTCTTGCATCAACTGGTCGATGTGGGGGGTCGACAGCGTTGTGTTGCCAAAACCACTCAAATCTCCGTACCCGAGGTCGTCTGCTAGCATTATGATGATGTTCGGTGGCCTGTTGGTGGCGCTTGTAGATACTATTTGACCAGCGACTAGGCCAATCAGAAGAATGATGTGATGAGCTGTTGCAGTTCCCATGATGCCAGTCCTACAATTAGTGAAAGGAAATTTATTCTTTGAAACCTTCCCAGCTGATTTAATTAGATAGTGTCGGAGATTATTTTCGAGAGATCACTGAAATTAAAGACAGGCGCGTAGCTACCATGTAAGCCAATAACCCCGGGCTTGCACATGATTTTGACAAGTATAGGTTTTCATGACAT